CTAGGAAGAATATATGTGACCACTGCTATTAGAGCTGGCATCTCTAAAATGTTAGCTTGTCACCTCTTTGCAACTAGGTTAGCCTAATTTGAAAGATTTTACTTTCTTTCATAATTTTTAAATTTATTTGTTTATTTATTAAACCTAGTGCTTATAGCTAGTCAACTGTAGACTGAACCAGGGCGAACTGCAGCCGTAAAGTGCAAGTATCAGGCAGTATGCTGTTGTGTGACCACATGCTGTCTCAATTGTTCTTCGTTTCTCTTTTGCTTGCACCAACCTTCTGTGGGGTGAATTCCTTCCTCAAGAAAATTTGTAGTTTTAATATGAAAATTTTATGCTACGTATGGAACTGCAACCCGGCGCCTGACCTGCAGAACTGCACTAATCACTGCATCACTGTTCCTTCCGCCTTTCTGTAGAAAGTTGCTCGTGCTGGCAATAACACAATGGGTAAAAAATCATTTAACTTTTTGAGACCTTCGCTTCTTCATATAATGGAATTGAAGCCGCCGCTGCAGGAATACTTACCTTGGCACAATTTTGATCACGTGCTTTTCCACTAAACCCTTGTGTACCAACAAAATAAATATGACAACAATAATAAAGCTGTTGACTCTTCTCTGCAAAGAAGTTTCAGAAATGAGAGGTACGCCTAAATCATTATTACGGACAGTTTTAATCATGCAATTGGCAGTTGTAAAACGTCATTACTCTTGCGACAGGTCAGAAAATTTCTCTCGTTCAAAAATCGAATGCATTTCTGGTTTTTTGCTTATTCCCATTATACTTTGCGACTTGCGACTTAAACGAACTAATTTTTGGGGCCTAATTAGAATAATGGCCGACGTAACGCCTTCCTTCACTGTTTTTGCGAATTTGAATTTTCAGAAAAACACCAGAGACTCTATGCTAAATGGCGGTCTCACATTCCAATTTTAAACCGAATAGTATGCTTGTTTTTATGTCCTGTGCACAGCAGGCGCTTAAATACCATAGAGCCGTGACCTGCTTAAATGTTCCCCCTAGGTGTCTAGAAGCAAGGGAGCTGTGCAACAGAACTTCTGATGTAAAGCGAGAAATTGGTTTTCTTCTTTACAGTATGCATTCGCCGTTTCAATTCGGTATCATTATTTTAACTGTGATACCTGTTTTTATTTTTTCGTTTCATCAATTTCATTCGATTTAAGTGCAATACTCAGCTTTGGTTTGAGGCTTCCTGATAAAGAATGATGACCGAATGTTTATCGACCGAAATGCAGCCGTAATAAGTGAAGTCCTCAATATTTGTTATCGAACAATTCAGTCACATTGTATCATGTGTCACTGACGTATTCGATGACACGAACTAAGTGACTATTGCATTAGAGTTCGATTTTTCTTGTTATAAAAACCATCAAATTATAACAAGACAGTGCAGATTTCATTTACCCAAGGCGCTTTAGAAGCACGCATGCGGAAGCTCAAAGGTCTTTTATTTTCACATCCCTCAGCAGAATTAATTTTGCTTCAACGTCTTCTAGGAGTAGACAAAAGATCTCACGGCTCGGGTAAGTACAACGAAATACACTAGCCATAACTTGTAAAACAGCCTGAAAGCTGTAATGAATCTCAATTGCTGAGATTCTAGCAACCAGGAACTGACAACATTCTTCGTCTGTTTTAAGGTACGCGCCCGTTTAAGAAAGATACCGTGACCATCGAGCTCGGACAAAGAGGCTTGTGACCACCATTCATATTTATCCACAAAAAATCATGGAAATTGGAAGCATTATGCTGTTTGTTCTCTGAGTATCGAATGACCATTAATAGTTTGGATTATTAGACACAATGCTTCTAACGAGTCTTCAAAATTTTTTCTGGCTTTTTTAACTGAAACTTAAATTCGTGAATCTGTTTTGAAGATTGATTACAATGTATTCGATCAGGCAATGTAAATGGTAGCAATGTCGCTGGTAACGACAGAAATTAATCCACTACTAAGATGTCACAATGTTTATCACAGATGCTTCTGACGGATAATAATGAATTAACATTTCTACCCCGCAGTTCTCTCATAATCCATAATTTTAGCTTCGGCAGGAACTTCCGAGCATCCGCGTTCTAGCAGACAGAGCCAACGGCTTACGCTTGAAATTTATCATTTTGTTTATGCTGTGCTAATTTTGTTTATTTGTTACATTTACACCTGTCGTATTGAAAGTTCTTACTCCTGAAAGCTATTCCAGAACATCGGGGTTATATCTTATTTTATTTTGGCTGTATTTACCTATAGGTACAGCCTACGCCAACCTTGTTTGAGTTAAAACATGTTTCTGTTCACACATACGTTTTTGCTGTGTAAACCCAATATCAGTATTTGAAGCATTTTGCTTTTTTGTTTTTTCGTGTATGATTACCCTAATTTTGAGAAAAAAACTTTGTGAATCTTGTAGGAAAAAATCATAATTACAATCTGTAAAATAAAGACAGCATCAGTTGTAAAATTACCTGTTTTATGCAGTACGAAAATATTTTTGTGCTGTCGTTCCTTGTACTTTTAGAAAATTGTTTTCGCAATGATCATGAAAACGACAGTCAAATGAAAGAATTCCATGAGCAAACAAAATAAACCATTCCTGTATCAATTATTTCATAATCGAAAGACTGAAGAATTGTTTATCTATCATTTCCGCGTACCGAATCATCTTCAGCACAAAAGCAATACCAGCAACTGCAGCTACCCTGTTACACCAAGTTCGTTGATTTCAATGCCGGGCTTGATTCAGTTATTTGTCCAACAGTGTGATTGTCATGATGGGATTTCTAATTTTAGAACAGGTTAATGCCACACTACAGCACAACGATAGTACTGTAGTAGTCGATGGAGATTTCCTGTTTGTTTGAGAGTGGAAAAGGCGTCTGATGCGATATTCTCTTCCCTTATTTCTTCCGGGTACTAGGGATCATATGCAGCGAATTAGCACTGAATCAGTCTAGAAGAAAACCTGATTTTGAAACGAAAGCGAAACTCAAAATATAGGTAAATATGCTGATGACATTGATTACTAAGCGAGTGTGGCAAAAATTTTCACTCACTGGTTGAAGCAGAGTACACAACTACAGAGAAAGTGCGGAATGGGCCGAAACGGCCCGTGCCGAATCGTCATAGACCGGAAAAATGGATCTTTATCTAAATTATTAACAGAAACGAAGCAATATGACAAAAACTGTGATATCGAGGAAGTTAATGGTTTTGAATATCGCAGCGTCGTCATTTCGAACAATGAACGATACTGAGAGTAATCAGGACTTAAACAAGGGGTGTACTAGTTTCTCACACATCTAAAGGTTCTCAAACATCTTCTATTAAAAGAAATATCAATCAAAACCAAGGTTTACTTTAATTTTTGCTGCAATTAGACGTTTCTCTGTATGCACTAAAAATGGCTGTCCAGGAGCAGGCGTTTACTGGCTGAACGGTCAGTTTAATTTAATTTTATCCTAATCACCCGAAAGGAGATTCAGCCATGGAAATTGAATTTACACTGCCAAAGTAGATGAAAAGTTTCAGGCAATAATGATATGAGGCATGTTGATGCTCAGACGGTACGTTCACATATGAGAGATCATATTTTCTCAGTCGCCACTACCTCATGGACATATTATACATATATAGAATCTGCTAAGCTATCTTACTAACTGGTAACTTTAGTAAGGACAAATGAAGGTCGAGAGCCAATACGTCGTCTGACCGAAACAAATAAACGGCGGTTTACTGTAGATGAGAATTTTTTATTCATCAACACGGTAAAGACATTCTAATATCAAAATGGATTATTTCGGAATTCGGATATCACGAACGTTAAAGTGTTGTTATTTTTGTAATGAGATTGAAGAGGACGATGATAAAAAGGGACTGCGCAAAAGGCAGAATCGCTGTGATTCAGTAAGACGTTCCTTTAACTTGCTGAGAAATTTAAAGTTCAGTACTTTTGCTCAATTAATAAATTATGTATACAAGATATGAAATGTAGACTAGAGGCTGGAAAGTTTAAGTTGAACAAGCGCAGTACCGCTATCATATGTCCGAATGAGTGATTGCATCTTATCTGTGATGCTTTCATATGAATAAGTACTATCAAGGAATCCCAATCCATCGTTAAAGTTGATGATATGACTGCCCTTTCTCTATTCAGATTTGCTTTGCAAGATAGGCAGGCTTTGCAATTCAGCAATAATCCTTTGAGATAATTATTTTAGAGCGTGAGAAACATATGACCATGCTGTATGATGCGTGCGCATTTCAGTTACAATTCGCCTGGAACCATCTGATGGCTAACCAAATATAAACCCTAGGTGTACACTTAAATTTTAAAAAGATATTAACTTATATTATTACCTCGCTGATCAGCTTTTCATAGCTGCTGCACAGACCCCCATGAGTAGGCTCAATCTTTCATAAAAGACAAGAAAATTAAGTGGAAAATTAAGGAAGCATTTCTTCATCTACATTACATTTGAGTATTCCAGTCATCTAAGTTAAGTACATTTTGCAGTAGCCAGTGTACAGTGCACTTTCTATGCCATTTCTAGGGTGCTGGGTGTTCTCATCCTTACAAGAGCCTTGGTTCTTGCTCGTATAACTGGAGAGTCAACATTTTTTAAGAACGATCTAAAAATTTTCTGCTTAAATTAATTCGTGTCTTATACTTTCGTTATGCACTGTATCGCAAAGAAACCCAGTGCAGCAACTTGTTGTCAAATGTACGATGATTAATATTCAGGGTTAATATAATATTATTTTTCTGCAACATTGTCTTTTCCAGTGCAGGAGATTCGAGTTGTGCTAATCCATTCTTGCGTAAGCCATAAATTTTTAAAATGAGACCAATTACTTTGCTCACGCATTTAGAAGGCAATGAATCACAGTTATTAATGAGCTTATGAGTATCAGGAATTGCTGCATAATTTCTAAACGTTAGACACTAACTATAAGCTCAATTAATCAGTCCTTGATGTCTGATAATATTCTGCGGATTTTTAATTCTTAGATCACTGTACATATTCCTAAGTATAACCACAAATGAAACAAAGTAAGTATTTAAAGGGCGCAAACAGGATGATGTTAAATAATGGCTTAAAAATGAAACGCGGTACAAAGTTTGGACGGTTATTTCATTAATCTGCCACCCACACACATAAATGAATTAGCGAAGACACAACTTGTTGGGTTGCGGATGGTTCGTCATTGCAAAATATCAATAAAATATTGTTTCAACACAGACCCATAAGCTATTTTTGAGTTATTGCTTCATGCCTAACAATATTCACCTACTCTCATAACTATTTCTTTATTCGCTTACTTATTTTGGAAATGAAAAGGTGTTCAAAGCCCTTTAAAGTCTGATCTAAAGGCAGATGTTTTCATGATCATGTATTGTGCTAGAACTTCCGTAATCCAACACGGTATTCCTTAGCCAACGCTCATTGGTACATTAATCATGGTACACCACTCAGAATTCTGAATGCTTCGCGAATGCAAGATCATCAAAAATCCATCCGACATTAGACAGCGCTTCATTTCTGCGTTATGCAAGTGAGTAAGTAAATAGGTAGATGAGTAAGTAAATGAGTATGCAGGCATGCATCAGAGTCAGCAAGAAGCTAATAAACTCTTTGAAAGATACAAGCAATCTGAAATCAAATAGTCGCTCGAAAATGAACTCGATGCACTTTTGTTCATGGGGCTTGTGTCGCAATTCAAAACGGGGACAGACTGGTCAAGAGGCAGGCTCCGAATTTTGGAGGAACCAAGTTCCAGTTCCAAGAAAGAACAATGTTTGCCTTGACCGAAAATTTCTGTAGCAACGAAGTTATTCACGCTGGTTGAAAGTAAGCAGCCGAGAAACGGGTAATAATTCGATGCCCGGTGAGTAATATCGATAACATTGTATTCTGATGCAGTCTTAAGAAGATCTGTCAGGTTTACGGCCATGCTGTCTGATGGCTTTATATTGTTTTGATCAACCTGATAGCTAACTGTTCGGTGTAATAATCAGCACAAGATGCAAGTTCAAAAATATTAGTTTCTCACTGAAAATCATAGACGATCCCTTTTTGCGAACTTCCCTAAAAAATCAAGCCAACAAATATGGCAGCTAAGACTGATTAAAACAAACAAATATGACTATTTTTAAAATTGTGGAACGGAACTTTTCTCAGCGGCGAATAAAGCTCTGTTTAAAAGTGACTCGCTGCTTCTACCACTCCAAGAAGCCGTCAGCAAGATTTCAAGCATAGTTATTCAGGATTATATAAACTAACGCAGAAACCTGTTCTTAGAATCGTCAATCAAGCATGGTATGCAAAAGCATTACTGTAGCAGCTCGAATATTGACCACAAGGAACGATAGCATCCATGATTGCTTTAAAAGAAACTGACCACTGGCGAGCGTTGCCGTTGGTGGAAGATTATCCGCTCTTTAAATGTGCTCTGGATAACCTATACTTGATGTCCCCCAGCGGATAGTCTACAGAAACTAATAACTGCTGGATAATGAGGCTATGGTAATCAGGATATTAATGCTTTCTGAAG